TTCCAGAAATTCCCAAGTCTTTTCCAGACGTTTCCAGACTTTTCCAAACAATAACCAAACTTATCCAGAGTTTTACAGACTTTATCCAGATTTATCCAGACCTTATCCAGACTTGTACAGACTGATTCGGATTCTGGAAAATGATCCCCAGGTCTTTTGGGACCTTTGGCAGAATTTTTCCGACCCTTTCCAGAAATTTCCAGGCTCTTTCCAGACGTTTCCAGAGATTTCCAGACTTTTTCAGACTTCATCCAGATTTATCCAGACTTGTTCCAGCTCACTTGGCTTGTTCCAGGTTCTTGTGTGTTGTGTGTTAATATAAGCGTGTTAAAAAAGTGTTGCTTTTTCGTTTCATTTCATCGGGTCGCTTTTTCGTTTCATCGAGTCTCAAATCACTCCCAACGATTCTAAAGAAGTTTTCACTTCAAAAATGAAAATAGAAACTTCTGGGCCATTATTCTTGAAACAGGGAAGCAGTGTTCTCATTCACATTTATATTTTCATTACACTGACAATAACCGATTCCTTCTATTCTCGTACAGGCTTCCAGCTTCTGAGAATAGTCGCTCACTGTAAACAGTACTTGCGAAGGAGCTTATAAATAGACCTTTCCAAGCTGGCTCATTTTGGGATATTTTAAACAGTACTTCTTCCACACCAAAAAAAAGGACAATGGTTTTTGTTTAAAATTTCACCTGATAAATAAGCCTCTACAATTGCAATATCGTTTTTGCGATTGCAGTGATCAAAGTCCTTATCAGTCAAGGCTATTTCACTATAATATTTGAGCTCTGACATACTTCAATAGCTATTCGGTATTCGGCCGAATATTCGGTTTAAATTCAGCCGAATATCCGGTATTCGGTTATTCGGCCAAACTACTATTCGTCAAATCACTAGTATAAACTCCGGTTGATTTTCACGCTAGTTCGAAAATATCAGGGGTGCTACCCAGTGTGCACTCTTTTTTTAACCAAATCTGCCCCTGGGTACATTTTACTCCTGTCATTCTTGACAGTTTTTCATTATTTAAATCTACTACTTTCATATTAAGTCAGATGTATTTGTTCCATTTTCCGTTTCTCGGAAGTTGTTGTTGATAATAGGCACAAACAGATAAATGGAATGCACAGATCACTGGGCCTGAATGTTATGCATATACAGGGTGTCCTGAGATAAACTGACACATTTTGTAGATAAATATCTCGAACACGAGAAACGATAACGAGATGCGGTTTGCTCTGGGAGAATAAGGATTTTTTAAAGTGTTTTTTCACACTATTGTCTGTAAAACCAAATTTCAGCAAATTTTAGGATTCGGCAATACTGTGAAAAAAACCTTAAAATATCCTTATTTTCCCGGAACAAACCGCATCTCGTTATCTTTTCTCGTTTTCGAGATATTTACCTTCAAAATATGCCAGTTTATTTATAAGGACACCCTGACCTGCAAAATGTGTCACTTTATCTAAGGACACCCTGTATGTTAGGTTTTAACTATACACCAGTGCGTTCGAAAACACACCAGAGAAAATTTACTCCTCTGACCACGTGACCATATACCCACTCGCACCCTTGGGTAAAATTTACCCCTTTTTCGAACGCACTCCTAGAATTAAAAAAAACTTTGGTTTGACCAACATTTTCAATGGAAAACTTTGCATTTAAAAAAATAAAGTTGAGAGATTTATCGGAAAAACTATAAGAATGGCAACGGTGCGAATATCATTTTTAGATCCGGCACTATTAAGAAAGAACTTTCGTTGGCTGTAAAAAAAATTGAAAATATAAATAACTTTTTCACACCCCAACACCACAAGAATACTGAAAAAGCATGATAGGGCCCCAAAATTTGTTTTGCGTCGGGCCCCAAAGGTCGTAGGTCCGCCACTGCACATAACTGTCGATCCTAATATTAGTCCTGTAGTAGATGCACCACGAAAAATTCCTTTTTCTTGGAATAATAGATTGAAAAGTGAGTTAGACAGAATGATTTCCCTGCTCCTGTAAAGTCGATGAGCCTAGTGAATGGGTAAATTCACTAGTTATAGTGGAGAAGAAAAATAAGTCTTTAAGAGTCTGTCTTGATCCAAGAAATTTGAATAGAGCTATAAAAAGATGTCATTACCCGTTGCCAACAATAGAAAATGTGCGGGTGCTAAATATTTTTCTACACTTGATGCTCAATCTGGTTTTTGGCAAATAAAACTTGATGAATCTAGTAGTAACCTTTGTGTGTTTGGATCACCCTTTGGCAGATTCAAATTTTTACGCCTTCCTTATGGAGTTTCTTGCGCCCCGGACATTTTTCATAAAATAATGTCTAATTTTTTTTGTGGTATTCCAGGAGTTCTGATTTGCATGGATGATATTTTAGTCTATAGTGATACTATTAGTGGTCATAATGATATTTTATAGAAAATCTTCGAAAAGGCTAGAGAAGTCAATTTAAAATTCAATGTGGAAAAATGTCATTTCTTATTAAAGGAAGTTCAGTATTTGGGCCATATTTTTAGTTCTTCAGGTATGTGTCCTGATCCTAAAAAAATCAGTGCTATTTGTCATTTAGAAAGTCCTAAAAATGTGTCAGAGTTGAAACGGTTTTTAGGTATGGTGAATTATCTTGGTTCATATATTCAAAATTTAGCAAATAAAACTAATAATTTGCGACTTCTTTTTAAGAAAAACACTTCATTTTACTGGGATACTGTGAATCAGACTGAATTTGATTTTCTCAAGAAAATTATTAGTCAAAAACCTGTCTTAACCTATTTTAATCCAAGTATTCAATTAACTTTATTTGTCGATAGTTCGAAATTTGCAGTAGGAGCTGTCATTTTACATAATAAAAGGCCTATTGCTTATTCGTCAAAGTCTTTAACAGAATTCCAATCTAGATATGCTCAAATAGAAAAGGAGTTATATGCAATTCAGTTTGGTTGTACAAAATTTCGGCAGTATATTCATGGACGCACAGTTAATGTTGAAACAGATCATAAACCATTAGTCACATTATTCAAGAAACCTCTTTCAAAAGTCCCCACTCGTTTTCAAAGAATGATGCTGAATTTACAGTAGTATGATTTTAATGTATCTTATGTTCCAGGAAAACTTCTATACATTGCCGAAACTTTAAGTAGAGCCACCAGATGAAGATGATTCTATAGAAGAGGAGCTACGTATTCACATGAACTTATTAGTCAGTAATTTGGCCGTTTCTCCCGAGAAATTACAACAAATAAAAGTCGCAACTTGTGCAGATTCAGAATTGCAAAGCATTATACAGGATTGTCAGGACTCCTGGCCAATTTCGAAGTACAATGTTGAATCTTCGGTTAAGCCCTATTTTAACTATAGGTATGAGTTACATACAATTGATGGTTTAGTTTTTAAAAAAAAATCTTCTTGTCATTCCTACAGAAATGCGTAGCCAAATTTTAGACATAATCCATGAGGGACATTTAGGAATAGATAGGTGTTTAAAACAGGCACGTGTAGTTGTGTTTTGGCCTAATATCAGAGTTGATATTAAGAATAGAGTAGAACAGTGCACATCATGCTTAAAGTTTCGTAATTCCAATCCATCAGAGCCTTTGCTACCACATCAGCCTGCAACTTTGCCATGGCAAACGGTCGGAATAGATTTCTTCTTTTATAATAAAGTCACGTATCTCTTAGTTGTTGATTATTTTTCTAACTATTTTGAAGTAACATCGGTTAGTTCTATCAATGCCAGTCAAGTAATTACAAGTCTGAAGTCAATATTTGCTCGTCATGGCATCCCATCCATAATAGTATCTGATAATGGTCCTCCATTTAGCTCGCAAGAATTCAAGAACTTTGTCCAGTCATGGCATATATGTCACCATACGTCTAGTCCTAATTATCCCAAAAGTAATGATTTAGTGGAAAGAACTGTTGCTACTGTGAAGAGTTTGTTTAACAAATGTCGTGAGTCAAATACTGATCCATATATTGTTATACTCCAATACAGAAACACGGCCCAAGCTAGCGGATATTCTCCTGCTCAGCTTTTGATATCGCGTTATTTGAGAATGAAGTTACCAGTAACAGAAAGCGTTCTTAAGCCAAAAGTTATTGATTATGTACATTACAATAATTTTGTTAGAGAGAAGATGAATAAGATGAAAAATTATCATGATCAACATGCCAGAAATTTGTCAGATATAAATGTAGGAGACAATGTCATGTATAAAAAGACTGCCAACTCATCTTGGGAACCTGCTTTGGTCACTGAAAAAGGTCCAATGCCAAGGTCTTTTGTAGTTCCCACCCCGGATGGTGTAGATTACTGAAGAAATAGGCATGATTTATTAATAAAAAAATTTGAACCCAATACATCCGTTCCTCCTACGACAATTGAAAATCAGCCTAGATCCAGTACAAGTACTTTATCACACTCGCCGAATTTAAATTGCTCTATTGCTGACACGTCATCTCAAAAAGCACAGACGACTAGAGTATTTACTCGTAGTGGCAGGCTAGTGAAAAAACCGCGTAGGTTTGATACTGACGATAGTTAAAACTTGTTATTAATTCATTTATAAAATTATTTCTTTTCTTATAAAAAAAGGAACATGTTGTATAGCTCCATGGTACTGTACCAACTAGTATTAGCAGAAGATTGCCTTGACTATAAAATGTTACCTGTCTGTCAGGAGTTTAATAATAGTGACAGTAGTCAGACACATTGTCATAGTTATAGAAACGTTTTAACACATTTTAAGTTCTTCAATTTAATAAAGCAAGTCCTGTTTAACTAAACCTATAATTATTATTATCCCTTCATCTTGAAGAAACTAAAAATTAAATTTTTCAAAGATTGATATTTCAAAAGAAATTTTCATCAACCAGTTGATTAAAATATCGAATAATTATTAAGGAAATCGATAAAACCTGAAATTATCGCAAAACTAGTTGGGCAACAGCCTTATATATTTTTTTTTTCGACATTTTATTCCCTTATCTTATCGATGTGTGTTCAATTTTGCCATTGTTATTCCACTCTCAACAAGTGTCGGATAAATATGGTTAATAATAAACCAGCATCAGAGAAAATTTATTTATAGTTTGGTGCGACATGTGAATAGAATTTTTTTTTACCATCACTTATGGAATAATTAATTAAGACTTTAATAAAAGTAAGTAAACAATCCATTACCTAATCTCATTGTTGTTGAGAATTCGATAATGAAAGTAGGCATCTAAACATTTGACTTTTCAAGCTTATTGACAATACGATTTCAATTGAATAAAAATTCCACATTGGTTTGAAAGGCTCAAATTTAAAGCATTTGAACCAGGAATCATTTCAAGAACTTTTAAAAAAACACCACTTGAAAGATAATGTATCGTGATACAAATTTGCAATTAACTTAAGTGTCTGTATTTTCCAATACACGAAAAGTACAGAGATCCTTTTCACATTACCGATTGTCTACGTCATTATTGAAAATCTCTTTTTTTTTCTGTTTAAACTAAACAAAAATGTAAACATATGATTATTTATCGGAAAGTTTGAACAAAAGTACACTAAACTCTAACTATAGGTCAGTTCTCACAGAAATCACAAAACAAGTCAGAGCGAATTTTATTGGTTGAAAATAGTCAGAAAACTGGTTGTTAGCGATTCACACCAATCAAAAACGTTCTGACTGGTTTGTGATTTCTGTGAAAATATCTTCAATATCAAATACAGTTTTTGTGCCCACTGCAAAGATGGGAAGTGAGGTATTTTTGTTTAGTTGTTTTTTCGCGAAATTGTATAAAATATCCTGTGAGTACTTTCCCAATCTAATAGATCATCAAGTGAAAAGGAAAATTTGCACCGCCACTATCACGTGGTTGCTGGAAAAGTCTCGTTCAGACCCGCTAAAAAACAGCAACCCAATCAAATAAAACTTTCAATTCGCCAAAGTATTTTATTCAAAACATATTGACCAATAGCGGCTTGCTGTTCCCATTATAAAGTACCTACCCAATATGCAAAGTACTGTGTTCACGAAACCGCGTTATTCACCCTTACGAGTGTTCATATTATAGAGCATGTACTGTAATTTCATTTAAAAATAATTGTAGTTTTAAATTCGCCATGTCCAAATCAAGCGAAGACATTCAGCTGCAAACCAAACCCCGTAAAAAAGCCAAACTGATCTCAACCCCCACAATACCTGAAGATGAAGCTGCAGCTGACTTCACAACTAGCCCACCAACTTTTACCATTGAAAAAGAAACAAAAAATATTGCCAGGTACTAATTCATTTTTTGAGAAAATATTTTAATTAGATTTTATCCTAATATAGAAAATCTTCAGATGCTTCTAGGATAAGCACGATGAGCACCAGAAGTGCCGCAAAAGTCTCTTACACCTACGACAATAAAGGTTTCGAGATCAGAAACGATTCGGGAAACGACAGTATAAGGTCCATATCGAGAGCACCGAGTTTAAGAAGTCTCGAGTATGTACGATTTCAAGCTTGAACTACCTACGTATAAATAATTTTTTGTAGAGTGCACAAAGAACAATATTGCTGTTGCTCGAGGAGAACGAAATACGAAAGGTTTTTGCTGGTGGTCGTCACTATTTTAGCCATCATTGTAACGGTACTCGTAATAGTAATTATTTATTTGGCCAAACAAAATAAATTAAAGTCGCTTTTTAAGATTTAAGTCTGTAGTGTAAGTTCCTGAAGGTACAAAATTTGTTGTAAATGGTAAAAAAATTATATTTTCACTGTTAAAACGGTATGTTTGTTTTTAGCACTGAGTCCAATCCTTTTATACCTCATTTTCTTCAGCGAGGAGAAGTCGACTTTATATGTGGTGAACGCTTGGAAAATTGCCAGGCAAAATTTTCACGGGTTTGTTCTAGGGTGGACGAAAATCAAGATCCGTACCTTGTCACTACTTGGATCGTCCTGTTAGAGGCACCGTCATTCATAAATTTGTTTCTGAGCCGTTTTTCAAATCAGAGAGATAATGATGTCCATTTAAGAGTCAGAAGTTTTCTGAGAACCGTTCAATCTGCTCTAAGTTTAGTGAACGGCAAATATTATGTTCGTGGTTCTCGAATGGCTTTCGGACAGAGAATTTATGTCTGTAATAAAATGTTAAACTTAAAATATGATTTTTTTTTCTAAATTTTCATTTGTTCAATTAGGGTTATCACTATTTAATTTTTTATATTACGCATGCATCATAATCAACGATTATCGCACGCTGCAGCGTGCATAAAATGATGTTTATGATGCGCCTACCTTTTCAAAGTTTTGCTATAGAAACGTTTGATCTACCTTCATTACCTAGATATACACCTGCCGTTTAAATTACTATTCATCAAAATGAATGAACACATTTAAAACATTTTTGAGATTATGATGCATTTGTAATATAAAATAGCGTATGATATGCGTGTATAAGAGGCCTTTAAAGCCCTTGCGACTTACAAAACACTCCGCTGCGCGTCGTGTTTTGAAATATGTCGCGCGTGCTTTAAAGGCCCTCTTATACACTTATATCATAATATACTATTATTCAATCAATTTGTAATTATTGTCACGGCTCTCGGTTGCGTGACAGAAATCTTGGGTTCGTTTATTCCAAAAATCAAAGTCCAATTAACACAGCAATAATTTATTCCACGTAACTATACACTCTGACACTAATTACACAGTTTCTAATTACTTTAATAATTAAGTCAACAACTAAACTCTTAACAACTCTCAACAATAATCACTACCTATCTAAATCGTATCACAGTCAAACCTAAACTTAAAAACTACTAACTAATGCCGGCCTTTATGTATCCATAAATCTATTCATGTATAATCTAGAATAAACGCGATAACTCTTCTTCTCGACCGCACCGTAACAATCTATAGAATAAGTTGGACTCTCGACACACTGGCGGACGCCCGTTACATTATTATTCCCGGCTCTTGGATTGGTTTGGTTTTAAATTAATGAAATAACTCAAACTAAATCAACCCAATTAACGGACGGGAACAATCAAGAATTGAATGTTGACCATTACTCCGGTATAAGCTGTTCAACACAAAACTGGTTTTCCGTGTGCCTTTTTGATATACTTAATCAATAAGTCTCCAGTAAGGAGGTCTTCCTCAAAGCCCACTGGAGCTACAATGATGTTTACCACCATAATCCTGTTGATCCTGGAGTGACAAGTGTTAGTACAGAGTTGACGTTTAGAACCCCAGTACCACAGATCACCTAATACAGATGCGAAAGTACGTATTCTTGCCGTCGACGATATTCTGTGACGAAGCCGCGGAGCCAGCTCCCCCCCGCATAGATACAGATCGCCCGCGTCAGGACAATTAACGTGGCCGAGTGCGTGAGCATGTTCCAACCTGTGTGTTTACATATTTTTGCGGGTAAAAAAGAATATTTTTTTGCTGTTTGTGAACCAATTAAAGAAATAATATTATATTATTGAGCTTCCGCATTTATATAATAAATATGTTCAAAATACATTGATGACGCATTGGTGCGGCCAGCTTATGTCCATCAAATTAATTTTGAACCGCGAATTCGCTGCTGTTTCGCATCTGTATGTACGTAATCTGTGCCAGTACGTAGATCAAATAGGGTCAATAAACCCATATTTAAATTGGATCTACAGTCTTATAGATCGTTTTTCCAGTCGGAACGCCGACTTATGTGCCAAAGGCGTACAGTACGGGAAAATAAGATCAAATGATTTTTTGAGCAGTTTTAAAGGCATTTTATTGCAACCCTACAAGTTGTATTACTTTAATTACATGTTTGACATGAAATATACAAAATCATGAACTCGGAATGGTGGGGGTTAAGACGAGAGCGCTCCAGTGCTGCTTATGTCAAACAGTTCAAGAGCGTCACACTCCAGGAGCATGATACTCTGACAATTTAGGCACTGGAAAGCAGCTCAGAAATGGTGTATCAGATTCACCAAAGTTGTCAGACCTATTGTCACATACGCCTCGTTGGTATGGTGGCCAGAGACTGTGCCAATTAATGCAGAGGACAGTCTACGTAAAGTACAAAGGCTGATCTGTCTGGAAATAACAGTGACTATGTCAACCTGCCCCACCGCAGCATTGGAGGCACTGCTGAACATGCCTCCTATTCACTTACAGGTGAAAAGAGAAGCCAGAATAAATGCCTATAGGCTATTTCAGGCAAAAAGATTTAAACTTGGTGATCTGAATCGCCACTTACACATCCTTCAGTCTATAAAGCTCGAGTGCCAAAGTAAACCATACCATCATATCATAACATCACTGGACTTTGACATTCCATTATTCCATATGAAGTGTTTGTAAAACAACGCCAATCATGGAAGTACAGAAAGCTATTACAAGCGAACAACGCATTCGCAGTTAGTTCAGGAGGGTAAAAATATTCTTAAACAACTTGTTGCCACTTTTGGCGTTCCAGCAAATTCACACCAGATTTGGCATTGCCGGTAGAAGGGGAAAAGTAGGTTTTGGCATTAGCATTGCCGTCTTTGAACGCACTCCAGGGCATAGAGGGCAACAAACATGGCAACAAACAGGTAAATCGTCACGCAAAGCAAGGGCGTTGTAACATCATTTCAAGGCCCATTATGGACTAATCAAAAGCCTCGTCTCCGAAGGAATGAACAGATAGAAAAAGGACCTAATATTAGCTCATTGGAGATCCATTCAGAGACAGACAAAGAGGTTCATATCCATTTCAGCAGGGTAATCTGAACAACTTCCTGACATGAACAGAACATACATTAGAACAGTCGTTGGTCTGCTCACTGGACATACTGCCTGGTGAAATCTAAATCTAAAAACAATAGTCAACTCAGACAAAGACCTTTGTGGATCTTGGGAACAAGCACCAGAAACTACAGGAAAATTAATTTATGAATGCCCTGTTCACTTTTTTTTTTTTTTTTTTTTTTTTTACGGATATGCGCACTCGCAAGGAAATGTCCTATCACGCTCGAGAAGCGGCAAGTGTGCGGAAATGTCGGTGTATGTTGGTCTTGAAACGGTTCAGGTTGTAACCTGCAGGGAAAACCGTCGCAGGGAGTTTATTCCACAGCGATGCTGTTCTCCAGAGATATGAATTCTGATATAATGAGGTTCTTGGTGCCTCTAGTTTGACAGTAAATTCATGGTTACCATCTGTTTGACGGGTTTGCCTGGTAGGTGCTACTCTCGGTGGAATCATACGTGCCAATTCTTCAGAGCATTTTCCGTGATAGTACCTGTAGAAGAGAGATAAATCGCCCACAGATCTGCGATGTTCGAGACCATCCAAGTTACGAGTAAGTGCGGGGTCATTGATCAGCTTGATAGCTCGTTTTTGCACGGTATTCAAAAGCATTAGGGTATGTTTGGGTGCTGCACTCCATATATGTGAGCAGTACTCCATAGTTGGTCAAATCTGGGCTTTGTAGAGTGTCAGCAATTGGCTTGGTGTGTACAGATGTCTTGTACGAAATAGCACCCCCAGCTTTTGGGAGGCCCTTTTAGCAATATCTGCCACGTGACTGTGCCAAGACATGTTGGTCTCTGCAGTAACCCCCAAGATGTTCAACTGACTCTGTAATGTGACAGCACTTCCAGATAGCATGATGTTTGGCTCACCGGTGCTGGTCTTTTTTGAAAACAGAGTTGCTTGCACTTTTGCAAAAAGCTGTAATACCTTGAATGGGTATGGCTCCCTAAGAGGTGGGTACTCTACCACTCAGGAAGCTGGCTCATTCCGCAAGAAAATCTAAAAACTAATGACATCTAACATCGTGTCTCGTGTGTTCACATCACTGATGATCACTTATAAAAATGCTATTGAAATTGAAAGTCGCTACAAATAATAGGCAATTTTTCGCGAGGATAACCAAGTGTCATACTCCCTAACTCCCCCACTATCAAATTCTGGGATACTCGAGGATCAAGAACACTTAACTTCTTCTGTGAGAACCAATGAACTATAACCAAAAACTGGAATGCTAACACATAAGGACGAACGTGAAGCCTAGTGCGGCTGCTGCGGAGTACAGTGGCTAAATAAACCTTTACATACAGTGGCGACAATAGAGGTCCCGGCGCCATTTTGTTCCCAAGCTCTTCTTACCTTTAAATATTGATATATAGGATTTAAATGGACATCTATCATAAAAAATTGAAATCGACGTATTTGATGACTCTTATTAGGTCCATCAAATACGTTGTTTTCCATGTTTTATGATGGATGTTCACCCAAATCCCATATATTCATATTTGAAATAAGCAATAGGTGGGAACAAGATGGCCGCGTTTTCAATATAAATATATGGGATTTTAGAACCAATCAAAAATAAGACAGCAATTGTCGCCACTGTGGGTAATAGAGTCACTGTACTGCGGAGGGGATACCTGTTTTTGTCGCACTCATTATGTTTAATGGCGAAAATTGCTTCCAACACGTATTCCAATTGATGAAACCAGTGAAGGGAAAACGTCATATTATGAAAACGTCATATTATGACAGCGAACAACAGAAAAAAACAACATTCCCCTTTGTGGCATCTGTCTTTCATGGCTACATTTTTTTGGCAGATATGGCAATGTGTGCGCATTCCAGTTTTTAGCTATAGTTCATTGGTGAGAACAAACCGAAAATCACCTTTTCTACACTTAAAATCGACGAAAAAATTAACTCACTAAATAAACTAGCACAGCCTGAAACTGCATTCATCGCGGTCTGCAGGTGACGTCACCACTATAAGCTGCTGGTAGTGACGTCACTCGCAGGCCAGGAATTTGATGGTGAGGGAGTTAGGGGAGTATGACACAATTTACATATAACATCTAAGCATAATCAGTGTTTGATTATGCTCGCGAAAAATTGGTGCATCTTTAATATAGGAATCACATTGCACAATAAAAATATGACTAATAATTTATTGACTGGTTTTATATACCTAACCAAATTGTGGCGGAATGATGACGCAACCGCCTAGCTACCGATTTTTAAACAAAAACTACCGATTATTTCTCCAAGAATCTACCGACTTCATTCCGTCAGAAGTGGCAGCACTGAAAAATTGCTTCATTTTGAAAAGGTTTGGTAAGTAAACTATTAAACCGGTATCGCACCGGTTCAGAAACCGGTGAATTTTGGGAAGTGCCCTACGTGGTTAGCTTAAAAAACGAAACGTCATGGTCAATGGTCAAGACCGCGTTTAATCCATTGACAATTTTATTATCTGTCACATACTTCACATACAAGCGGCGCGCGCAGCACAGGTAAAATGAGAAAGGTCCATAGCGAGAACATCAACACTATTAGGATTTCTTGCTATTTCCGGATGTGATACAACCGGTAGTTCTTATAAAAAGGGTAAGAAAACATTTCGGAAAGCCTTTTCGAATGCTGAAGATTCTGTTTTACTTGCTTTTCTTGAATCTCTTGGAAATGAATCATCGTGTACCGATCAAAACTTTGGCTATGGTCCGAATATACTCAGGGTTGTGATTTCGCGGTCCGAAAGTAATCAAATTACTCTGGTTCTTGGAAATGTGGGACTTTTGGCCTTTGGTTTCCTGGAATCTGGTTAACCAAAGGTCAAAATAGTTACCGGCTATCGGATGTCGGTTCTGTTGGTCTTAACAGTAAATTCTGTCAATTATTTTTTATTTCATGTTCGCGTTCCCCAAGTAACCGGAATTTTCAGTAACCATCTGTCAACCGATTCGGTTACTTTGGTTATATGTATTCGGACCATAGAAATGATTTAGTGCGACTAGATTGATGGAATGTTAAGTCCTTGTTAGGTAATAATCACCTTCGAATATGCCACACACATTGAAATTGTACACAAGCTAAGGTTGTTTTTAGCTGACCAGGACTTAACAAGCGATTGATTTAGTGGCACTTAGAACCGGATTGGATAAACCGGTCCTTAATCAATCAAATCGAAAAAAACTAGCCCGTACATGCGAATACTCAAAAGTTGAATTTGGATTATTCCCGGCTCTTGAGTGGGCTCTGAGTACCAAAACTAACCTTGATCAAGAGTCAAGGAATCATCAAAACTTGACTTTTGACAATTCCTGACACTTGATTGGGTTAGTTTCATACGTTTCATATTTCAGGCATCTCTGTTTCAAACACAAAGTAATGAAACAAATCAAACCAATCAAGAGCCGGGAATAATCGAAAGTAGAATTTTTACTATTCCTGGCTTTTGATTGGATCAGTTTCAGTTCTCAAATCTAAAACTAACTTTTACCAAGAGCCAGGAATAATCAAAGTATCACTTTTGAAACAAAGCACACCAATTAAGAGCCGGTGATGACCAAAAGTTGAATTTTTACAATCAAATTCACCTACATACCTGTGTACATACCGTGAACAAACTTATATTTTTGAAAAAACCACCCTGCCAAATTGTGTTTCGTTTCATGAAAAACTGGAAAATTCTGTAATTGATTTTTGAAACTTTAGTTCTGTAGTAAAAAAGATTTTCAAAAGGACGAGGAGGAAACCACCTTTCAACTTTTGATTTCCTGTGCTTTCTTCGATTATCTTTGGACAACTTAAAAAACCAAAATTTTCTCTTAATTTCCTAGTCTATATTTCTAAGTGAAATGAGTGAAATAATCGCCCCAAAACCATAGAGTCAAAACTTCAAATTGCCCCCATCGATTCTCCATAGTAACTCACATAGTAACTCACCAACGATGACAATACAAACAAAATAAATATCCCTCGACTGTAGAACAACAAAACGAAAATGTTTAACGTAAAGCACAACGAATGCGTCGGTTTTGAATCGAAATGGAAAGTCAAAAAGTAAGTAAAGACTCCAAAAACACTAAAAAAATTATCATCTTTTGTATGTATAGAGTATCGGCCAACAGTGCCTCGCAAACCACCGAGTTTTCAGTGTCGGAAAAAGGCTCCGACACTGTAGAACGAAAATCGCAAGAGGCTCAAACCGAAACCACCCAAAAACCTTCCGAAGAAGTAGAAATGAGCAAACTAGCAAATTGGCTCAACAAAATTTATCCGAATGTTAAAGAGCAAATCGATAAGTCCAATAGTTCGAGAGCATTCCAAAATTACAGGACCTCAAACACTAGTGTGGATTCTTTGTGTAAATTAGTGCAAAGTTTTAGTATCGCTGGTAAGAATGCTGATGATGGGGATAAAGCAGTAAGTACAGATTTTTTTTAAAAAAGTGCTTCTATAATTACACTTTTAGATCCCAATTATAAATTGCCTCGACTGGAACAATTCGGGCAAGCTCCTTGCAGTTTCTCACAGTTTCAAACATAGAACTTGGTGCCACCATACTGGGACTGTTTCAATTTACTCATTTGCTAGGTAAGGATAGGCAAGTTTTCCAACGCACCTTCAATAGCTTTTTGTTCTAGAGATAAAACTCTATCTGAGTCTTTCATGAAACGATTGAGCACGGAATCTTGCGTAACAACCCTCAAATTTCATTCCAATTACAGTAATATTTTGGCTGCCGGGACTTTCACAGGTTTGCTAGTTGTAATTGTACAAAATTAATCAACACTAAATGTTGTTTTTATGTAGGGCATATTTACATATGGAACATTGGAAATGATGTTGATGCGCTTATTTGCAATACAGTGGCGCACGATGAGTATATAACTCAAATCTCTTGGGTTCACGATATGGATTCTGCTTGTCTGGCAAGCTCCAGTACTGATTCCTTGTTGAAAATGTGGACATTCAATGTTGCCGATAATTTAGTGAAGCTTAAAACTATGTGAGCATGTTTTCCTAAAAAAACTTGAACTTGAACAACAAACTCATAAATCTTCAAAGCTAATACACCCTGTACAGACTTCTGAAAAGTGCCATGTAGCACCATCTCTGATACTGGAAAATTTAATTTCCAGAACACTTTAGCATTTGGTTCAATTTAATTGAATATAGCAAACTGTGTTTTATAAATTGGAAAAGAAATGACGTTGATTAGCTCTAGCTGTTGAGAATCAAATAAGGTAAAAGATTCTCAGCAGTAATGTGAAGAAAGGCCATCAGAAACTATAGTGGAGACAAGAACTTGGAAGCTATATGCTAGAGCTAGAAAAATTATAAAACTTCTAGCAAAGAAATTCAAGTGTGATTGAAGTACCTGAAATTATTCAAAGTTTAACTTTTCCCGGCTCTTGAATGGGATAGTTTGGTTTTATTGATTCAATAATTTCTAAAAAATATAAAAAACTAATCCAATGACCAGTAAACGAGTGGAAATCTTTGGTACTGGCACCGATCTCCTATGGGTACAGGGTGTTACAAATTAATGACACTTCATCATTGCCATTTTTGCTTCTCTACTCTCTTAGTATTTCAATAGAAAAAGCTAAAGCAAAAACTTTTAAAACAAATTCAGACAATTTCGTAGTTTCAAATGCAGTTTTTGAAACGCCTACACTCCAAGACTGTAATAATATTGTTATATTCAATATTGTATCAAGTTATTTATTAAATTATAAATATGATCTCAACAAGTTACACTCTTTTATATTAGAAGGAGCTTTAAGGTCCTTAATATAATAGCCTTAATATTTGCATTATCAGTTTTCATACCATTTTGACTAAAAATATGTCCCACATACTTTACTTCTTTTAACATAAATTGAAATTTTTGTTTATTAAATTTCACACCTTTCTCTCTAGCTCGCACAAATACTTTTTCCAAGGTTTTGTCATGCTGTTCCACTGTATCACACGCTATCAAAAGATCATCAAAATATATTATGACATTTTCAAGATCCCCAAAGTTTTTATAATTCATTTTTTGGAGATATTCAGGTGCCAGATTCATGCAAAATGGTAACCTGCGAAACTTGTAACAACCAAACGGAGTAGCAAATGTTGTTAAATTACTAGAAGGTTAATCCAATTTTATTTGATAAAACCCATCCTAAAAATCTAATACAGAAAAATATTTGTTACCTGCTAATCTAGAACTAATTTCTTCCAGAATAGGGATTTCAAAAAATTGCCTTTCAATGCACTTATTCAAGTCTTAAGGATCTAAACACAATCTTAAGGATTTATCAGGTTTTTCAGTAATTGCCAAATTATTTACCCACTCACTTGCCTCATCTACTCTGCTTATAATATTTTGTCTTCTTAGTGCCGGCACTTTGGTTCTGAGGTGCGATTTTCGAAACCATTCGAGTACATTTCGTACACGAAATTTGACTGAGAGCAATGTAAATTAAATGGGGAGCAGTCAAATTTCGTGTACGAAATGTACTCGAATGGTTTCGAAAATCGCAACCCTGCTACGCTTTAGGGGTCGCTTAAAAAATGATTTTTTTTTTTTGGAAATTTTGGTATTAATCGATTAGTTTTCATTTAATCTTCAAGAAATAGTGCGAAATTTTTGGAAGAAATGCAAATTTATAGTGATTTTTTAGTATTTACCTCGATAGTATATCCCTTCATTTCGACATGTTTTTTCTTTTCAAGTATACCTATTATGCTATTATAACTAGTTTTAGTTATGTAATATGTAGTTTCATAATGAAGGCTTATAATATTTCGTTTTAATTCAAAAACATAATTAATATTATATTATTTGCTGTTGACTGCTTGCTTGGGAAACTTGTCTTGTACCGCTTGTACCTATCTTGTATAAATTAATTTTTCATATGTCATTTTTTAACTAGCGCCATCTATTATTAGGTATTTGTAACATTTTGTGTATTGTTGGCGCCATCTATCATGTCCCATTGACGTAGGTACTTTGCATGTACGCAGAGTTGCATCAATTTCAATGGGCCACTTTCACATTTTTCAAAAAATATGCAAATTATTCTTTTAGTCATTCTAATACTATCTCTGTATACTTTTTTTCCGAAAAAAAAACGCTTATTTTTGAAAAAAAAATTATTTAAAAATCGAATTTTCAAACTGGCACGAAAACGTGAACTTGGTTTGTGACGTCACAAACCAGAAAACCAACAAAAATGCGAGGATGCCAAATTTCTCATTATCATTACACATTTCACTAGCTAGAAACTATTTTCGTCCTTTACTACATTATAAAAAAATAGGATAGGTATAATCTTTATCAACTCATTTAAATTACGCATTTCTACATGTGACAACAAAAACGTCATAATCGGCCTTAGCCAATCAAAAGGGCGTTTTCAATCACGTGATTTTTCGTTTAAATTTTGAGTTTTTATTTATTAATTTATTTAATAATCCGACTAAAATCTGGCAAAATATTGTTCATTCTTGGTTGCATTGATATATCTGCGTCAAAAAATATCATAATTTGCCATATTCCTGGCCCGTGAAAGTGGCCCATTAAAGCCCCCCTGGTTAAAAGCAAAGCGCGTGAAGCGCGTTTTTGTTTTCCTAAATTCAATTACGTGGACGGGTTATTTTGGGTTAGTTTTTAGTTTGCATATTTTTGGTTGGTTTCGTTACAGTTCGTTTATTACTGGTTATAAATGTACTGGTTAATAACAATGCGCGCGAAGCACGCTTGTTTTTCTAAATTCAACATTAACATTCAAGGACTAGAACGCATTACATGGACGGGTTAGTTTGGGCTAGTTTGCATATTTCTGGTTAGTTTCGTTACAGTTCGTTTATTACCTACTGGCTATAAGTGTACTGGTTTTTTTAATTCAATATCAACATAGAAGGACTAGTACGCATTACGTGACGGGTTAGTTTGGGCTAGTTTAATCTAAAAATTCTTCGAAACACTTGTCAAAATAGGGAGTTTTCGCAGTATATGGGCAAAAACAATGCTAATTTGTATTTTTAAATTCGTAATTAGAAACAAAACTACGAGGAAAGCCTGGAAAATTCCGCACTTTTTCATAAACAAGAAGTAAAAATAAATCGTTTAAAAGCAAAATTTACAAAAAAAAATAATCATCTCCTTAAAAGCCGAGACTTTTGCTATCGAGTAACGAATTTGATGCGTCGTCAAAGTTTTGCATGGGCCAAGGTCTATAAGTATGATGGGGTTAGAGCACATTCAAAGTCTTGATTGGTCCTGATTATTTTTAACAGCTGTTAAATGAGAGCAAAAGTACCGGTACTATAATGGCCATTTCCACCAAGCAAAAATTAAGTGCTCTGTGAATTAAGTGAACTTGACGTTAAGTGATCCTTATATTAGATTTTGGTTTCCTCCACGCTTATTATGTTTTATTAAGGATCACTTAGTTAAGTGATCCTTTTGACGGTTTAGTTAAACCGTCAAAATTCTCAGCTTAATCGCCACTTAGTTGAGTAGAGATGTGCGTATGCGCTAACAGCATTCAGATTTTTCATAAAATGAATTAGGAGCCACAGAACTAAACTCCAAGCCAGTTTTCTCCCAAACCCTATGTTTTTCGGCCACAGATACTCCGCCTGGTTTTTTATTTTTGACTGTTCTTATTTTTTTATGTTAGTGATATTTGCAACTCTTTTTCCCATATTGTCTACTTTGGTGTCCGGCTTTTTTCAATAAACTCTCCATGTTTGTTTCTATTTTCCCAACTCCACGCTGCTCTAGGCGCCTTCGTGTTCGTTCACACACAATGCAGAATACAGGATAAACAACAAATATCTAAACCTCTCCTCTATGAAATAAACGGAACCCGGACAACAGCAACAACTATTATTAATAATATCATCATCTTATTAAAATAAGCGGGAAGCGTCAAATGACAGATAACATTGACACAACTAGTGTAAAAACGGAAAGTACCCAAATTTTTCACTTAAAATGCAATGTTGCCAAAGCTTTACGACACTTAGTTAAGCTTGCACTGAAAAACTATGGTGGAACAAAATTATATTTGAGTGTTCCTTAACTTTTAAGGGCTTCATAGTTGATCAAAGCTTAGTTATAGTTTGGTGGAAATGGCCATAAGTGTATCAGACCCGGTACTTTTGCTCTCATTTGACAGCCGTTAAAAATAATCAGGGGTTTGAATGTGCCCTAACCACATGATACAAATAGACCTTGGCCCATGCAAAACTTTGACGACGTATCAAATTTGTTAATCGAGAGCAAAAGTATCGGATCTTCAAAAAAAAAACCAATCGAAGATTGCTTTGATTACGAAAACGTACGTCGCATCACTGTTTTTTTATTGATCAGAATTTTTAACATGACATTTTGACATTAAAATTCACTGACAAAATTAAAGAAAAATATTACTAAGTTCAAAAAACCATAGCAGTCTTTAATTGTTTTTTTTTTGAAGACCCGATATCAACCCAATCTATCTATCTAATGTTTGCTTGCTTCAACCTATAACCGAATTTTCGCGACGAACTATTTCCATGATTTCATGAACACAAACGCTTTCGCGAGAAACTCCATGACGTCATATTGAACGTAGAGTCGTCACAGACGAACTATGGTTCGTCCCTTGGAGTTGGATGAACTACATTCGTCGCAAAAATTCGGTTTATCTTTCATAATTCATGATATTCGTCTTGCAGGTCTAGCTACAGGTATAATATTTTCCATTAATTCTATTTTACAAATATCCTGAAAAGTTCCTATACCCTCAAAAGGATCCCCATTTTTACAAATTATTTTCTCCTTATCTTGAAAAAGCGTTTGACAAATATTAATGGTGTCTGATTTTTTAATTAATCCTAATATATTGTTCGTCAATTTTAATCTGATACTCGCCAATGAATACCTGACGTCATACCTGTTTTTGCCATATGAAACACCACCTCGCTCCTCATACCGCAAGTATCCAGTTGAAAATCGACGAACAATACATATAGCATGTTGACTGGTGTGACATCTATTTATTTATTATTATTTATTTATTTATCAACGGGTAATTTCCAATTAAAAAACAGTACGATTTTAGTAATATAAAATACCTAATTTCTACCCTAACCTTAAAACAAATTAAATTAATTAAAATAGATCAAATCCTTAGTCAAATCAAATTAAAATTAAAACCCTAGAAATCTGATCAACAAAAACAATGAGTTGCAACACAAACAAAATATAAAATTTAAAATTTAAGTCTGAAGCTAAAATAAAATATTGAACAATATGTAACAGTTTAGTTCTTTGGTCAACAAAAAAGTCTAGAGTATCATAGTGGTGATTGGCAATAAGTCGAGCGGTCCTAGACAAAAATGAGTTTTGGTTTAAACCATAGTTGGTTCTATGGGGTGGAGCATAAAAAAAAATGGTTCTGTCTAGTTTGCCGTAAAGGAACGTGAAGCCCAATTTTTTCAGTAAGATCAGGAGCAAAACTGTGGGAGTGCAGCAAGTTGTAGAACATTGTTAGGCCCCTGTGAAGGCGACGAACTTGAAGAGTACCTACCAATATTTAGATTGTTTTCCATTTCGGAATAGTTGATGTTTTCAGCTGTATGATGCTCTTTGAAGGAGATGTTCTTCAAAAGCTTATGCTGCATTCTTTCAATAGCCTGGATATGGACATCGTAATAGTACAGCGCTTGATGAAACCCAAAATTTGAAGAGATTTAGAGACAGCCAATGATATTTGAGGTATATAAGACAACTGACTATCCAGAATGAGTTGGGTTCCTGCCAAGACTGAAAATCATTAGATGGCACTTTTTAACATTAAATTCCATTCCATTTTGTGTATGTACACCAACCAGACAGACGATCCAAGTCAGATTGTATTTTTAAATAATCTTCAGTTTTGTCAACTCTCATGTAAAATTTAAATCATCCGCAAACATTAAAAAATGGGTGTGTAAAAAACAGGACGAAATATCATTAACGTACACATTGAAAAGCAGAGGGCCAAGATGCGAACCCTGAGGCACACCTGATGGGAGTTGGATTTCATATGACTTGTAGCTTTGAATAAGTACTGCTTGCGTTCTACCAGAGAGAGACGATCCCAATCACCTCAAAAGCCTTCCATGGATCCCTTTCATAGCCAATTTCTGAATTAGTACTTCGTGGTTTACGCACGATCGAACGCCTTTGAAAAATCGGTGTATATGGCGTATACATGATGCCCCTCCTCCAGGGCTTCCAACAAAAAGTCGGTAAATGTGAGCAGGTTATGTTCAGTCGAGCGATGCGCAAGAAACCCAAATTGCTTGTCACTAAAACTGCTTCTCAAATTTTTAGCTAGAAAATCACAAACAAGGCTTTCGAAGACTTTAGGTATACAGCTTAGTATACTAATGGGCCTATAGTGATTAACTTGCGCTGTATCTCCTGATTTTAGAATAGGCGTAATAAAGCTAGTTTTCCAGAAAGTTGGAAAGATACCGTTGTCCAAGGATAGATTAAAGATGACGTGAAGTGGACGTGCCAGTATAAAGCTAGGTACATTGTTTTAGAAGGCTTGGGGGAATCCCATCTGGGCCTGCACTCTTGCTGATATCTAAGGATGACAGTTTTACATAAATTTCAGAAATAGAAAAGTTACAGTTAGACAAATTAATATGACTGAAAGATGGGACAATGTGTGTAACATCACAGACCTTATCAGAGTACATTTGCGAAAAATACTCAGCAAACAAATTTACAATTTCGCCACCAGTTGAAAAACCTGATATTATTGTAGTACATTTCAGAAGGAATCTCACAATTTTTCTTTTTAAAAACTTCCAAAAGTTTTTAGCATTAACCCTCAAGGAAGATTCAATTTGCGCTATATAGCATTGATAACACTGATTCTTAATTATTTTACATCTAGCTCTTAATGCAGAAAATAACTTATAGTCCTTATAAAGTCCAGTTGAAACGCATTTTTTATGTGCTTTTTCCTTTTCAATTATTATCCTGAGAAAACCACACTGGAAAATTTTTGGCAGAGTACTTTTTTAGAGAAACAAAAAGATCAACAGTTAAGTATAGAACATCATAAAATACATTGATTATATCGTCCAGGGATTTATTTATGAACAAAGTGACCCAAGTGGAATAAGAGAGAAAGTCACACACTACCGTAATGTCCATGGCATGGAAGTCTCTATAAAAACCGAGAGTTGTAGCTTCCTTGTCTTGCAAAAACACGAGATCCAGGATAGATCCGTTCTCGTTTCTAAGTGAGTTTACCTGATATAGGTTATGATATGAGCATAAAAATGATAATACTTGGAGGGACTCAACTTCGTTTGGAGAAGCTGTTGGCAGAGGGACAGCCACAGAGGCCAAATCAACTTTTGACCATTGTCCATTAGGAAGATTAAAATCGCCTAAAACACACACTTTACTATCTGGGTATGCTTCCGTCAGTCTTCCCAGGCTGTCAGCAAACTGTGCATACTTTTCAAAGGCACTCCGAAGTGGGAAAAAGCAGTTGCAAAAATCAAATCGGTACCGTTCATATCGATCTGTACAAACAAATGTTCAATATTATTATCTGCTTCCAGGAGTCTACTTGTAATATTTTTTCGAACTATGCTATTAGTACCCCACCCCCTCTTGAGAAAACGCTTGTTTCGACAGATCTGTCCCTTCTGTAAATATTGAAATCAAGCATTTGAAGTTCAGCATTCTGGAAGTGTTCCGTCAACCAAGTTTCATTAAAAACCAAGATATGGTATTCAGAGTAAGAAACATTCTCAAAAAGCAAGTGAAGCTTGGTCCGTAAACCTCTAACATTTTGGAAATAGACAAGGAAATTGGAAGGATGTGGATTTTACTACCGAAGAACTAGTTAGTTTTTTGTTGCCAGTCTGGGAATCCCATTAATGTACTTCAAAAAAAGGTTCTTTTCACCTTTTAGCAGTCTTTGCTTCAGTTCGTTTTTTAAGTTGTTAAGCTTCACACGTTGTTCAGAAGTTAAGTCAGTTTCTAAATATAGGTATGCCCCTGCCTCTATCCAAATTCTTTTTACTTTTTAGAACTAGACGAACAACCTCTGGAGATTCAAGGGAAAGCCGTAAAGAACGATGGCCATTTTTGTTGCGTTTCCCAACTCTAGAAGCAGTCACAATGCTGACAGGCGCACCAACAAGCTGCGATAATAGGGTGTTTGCCTCAATCAAGTCGTCCTGATCATAAATCTACAATAATAAGTTCTAAATTAAATAATTTTTCTGACCTTATGCATGGTAACTCAATTTTTCCGACTGGTTTCAACTTTGTTCCAACACATGCTTCTAACATAATGTCAGATTTTTTTAATTTGTGACACCCATTATTCTTACAAAATCCTTGTGAAATTTTCCGTGGTAATATATTTACTTCAGAGCCTGTATCAACATTGAAACTTAGGTTCTTATCATGTACCTTTTATCTTCAACCCATACTACTTTATTTTTATTTTTTCCTTCACCAACTTGCTTGATACCATGTACATATAATTCATAATTCATCAGTTTCTTCTTCTACACTATCATCACTGTATTTCTTTCTGAATAAATTCTTTAATTTTTTTAACATAGGTACCGGGTGTTTTTTTATCTTTGATATCATTTTGATCACCTGTAACTTTTTTGTTTTTGGCGTTATCAAGGTAAACAAAAAAACAAAATTTAGGGTTATTAGCCAAGTTTTTTTTCAAGTTACGTACACATAAAACAAAACACTATCAATTTTTTGACATATAAGCCTACATTATATTTTTTTAAATGAAACACCCTGAATATTATGTGTGTTCGATAGAATATTTTTTTCTGATTGCAATGATATAACACACTTCATATTTTGGTCCACTCGTTTTTGACAAATCGGCAAAAATATGAAACTTTTGAAGTGAAAATGTCCAAAGGTAAAGGTAAAATTTATCACATATTCAGTGCTATTTGATAGGGAAAGGTGACCTTTACCTTTGGACTACGGATTGTGAATAGGATATAGATGATTGTATTTACAAAGATTCAATTTTTAGATTCAAAATCAAAACTCCAATATTCGGAAAAATCGACGACACCATGGAAGTTCCGAAGTCTCTGATCGACAAAGGCGATTTGGGAATTGTCTGTTTCGATTTTTCCCTGCACGTTCCTGACATGTTCGTGGTCGCTTTGGAGGGCGGTTTGATTGCGCGTTGCTCTCTTTTGGGCCTTACCAAAATCAAAGGTAATTTATCAGGAATTTATATTGTAATTGTAATGTAATGTAATTTTCAGCAAATTCTGGTGATGTTTCTCACTACTACGACCCAGTTTTCAAATACTACGAACTCCATAGAGGGGAAATTGTTTCGATTAAGTTTCCCTTGCAGACTAAAGACATGTTTTTAACTAGTGCCACTGATGGTGAAATTCGTATTTATCTAGTGCATCAGGTAATATAATCGGCTTTGTGTAATATTTGATTAAAGAGGTGATTTTCTTTATTAGACCGAGCCTGCCCAAGTGATTTTTCTCAAATCGCCTCTGAACGAAATTTCGTACGTTTTGCACGAGAAAAAATTGTTGGCCGCGTGCGGTCAAGGTGGGTTTTTGGAAGTTTTCCAGCTCCAAACTGGTAAACCTATAGAGCTTACTTTTAACGTGAAAATTACCAAACGTAATTTGACTAGTATGGCTGTAAATGGTTCAGAGTAGGTTAATTAAATAGGACATTAATAATTAAATAATGCTGTATTTATTTTAGAACCAATTACGTAGTTGTTGGAAACAATAACGGAGAAATTCAATTGTGGGACGTGCCATGGCAAAATATTGAATAATTAAAGTAAACAAAATTCAATAAAAAATGTTTGGGTTTGGTTTTTTTTTTATTCCTTGTTTACCAAAGATTCGACCTTTTTCATTTATTACCTGCACATACTTCGGCTGGTTGAATGTCAAATTTAGCAAAGTGATTCATAAATTATCATGTATTCGCCATTATCTTCAGTAATTAGTACCACTTATTCCCAAGATAAAAGAATAAGTAAGTTGAATAAAATTATTAATAAGTTTAATTACATTGCATTTTATAGCTGATTATCTCAAATCCGAAAAAACCAAAGCCCAAACTGACGCAATCAAATTGCAACTAATCCGGCTAGAATATTACGAAAACCTAGAAATATCAAGACGGCACCCCATTTTCAAAATCCCAGCAATCAATATAATGAAATTCACTTCTAAAAAAATCAAATTTGCATTTCAACCTTCGCTGATTTACGACAACATAAGCAAAACATATTTATTTCATTGCTCGTTGCATTATGTGGAGAGATTCCGAAAATGGAAAATTGGTAGGGAACCGATGCCCGCTTTAGGTATTTGCCGTAAAGTGACAAATAACTACGAGTATATTAAAGATAATATAAATAATCTGTATTCGGTGGTTTGTAAGATCTACGAGGAGCTCAAAAAATGGTCAGAGGACGAAATAAGATTCAGGAAAATGAGATTCCAGGTAAGAATTTTGCATCGATTGAAGGCTTTCTTTAAAATATGGTTTTGGAGAAAACCTATAGTAAGATTTTCAAAACTATCTTTTGCCTTAAAAATATTTTCAAGTAACAAGCTAATGATTTCTAATATGGGGACAAAAATGTCAAAGATTACCATTAAAATTTTTTAAATTAGGTATAGGATTTTGGAAAACTTTGGAAGGGGATAACTTTTTTTCTATTAAAGATATAAATCTGAAATTTTCAGCGATTCATATTCTAGTAGAGGACTACAATCCCTGGAAATTTCAACGCATTTGGACTTATAGTTCCTGAGATAAAATCGTGTTGAGCAATTTGGGGTGATTTATCAATTTTTCAATTTTACTGAGTGCCTTTTTTCATAAATTTCGGCATCAAATCTGAGAATAATTTAGTGTATGGAGTTCGGGGAATATCAAATGACCATTAGAATACAAAATCTCAACAAGAAAAAAAAAATTGAAATCTCATCGTTTTAGTAAGAAGGTAGCTAGCTACCTTATGATTTAGATTTTGGAAAACTTTGAAAGGTTGTAACTTTTTTTCTATCATAGATAGAAAGCTGAAATTTTTAGCGATTCTTATTCCAGTAGAGGACTACAATCCCTGGAAATTTCAACGCATTTGGACTTATAGTTCCTGAGATAAAATCGTGTTGAGCAATTTGGGGTGATTTATCAATTTTTCAATTTTTCTGAGTGCCTTTTTTCATATATTTCGGCTTCAAATCTGGGAATAATTTACTGTATGGAGTTCGGGGGATATCAAATGACCATTAGGACACAAAATCTCAACAAAAAAAAATTGAAATTTCATCGTTTTAGTAAGAAGGTATCTTAGCTACCTTATGATTTAGATTTTGGAAAACTTTGACTTTGAAATGTCATAACTTTTTTCTATTATAGATAGAAAGCTGAAATTTTCAGCGATTCTTATTCGAGTAGAGGACTACAATTCCTGGAAATTTCAACTTATTCGGACTTATAGTTCCTGAGATAAAATCGTGTTAAGCAATTTGGGGTGATTTATCAATTTTTAAATTTTTCTTAGTGCCTTTTTTCATAAATTTCGGCTTCAAATCTGGGAATAATTTAGTGTATGGAATTCGGCCCAATAAACATTTTTAGTTATATATTGGTAATTGTATATTTTACAACACTCACTTTAAATAACCTATAGTTCAATAATAATATGTGGGAAACATTTACATCACCCTTATAAAAACTTTAAAACACTTAAATGGCGGAGTTTATAAAGGTTACCGACACCTCTGTGTTAGTAATGTAATATAACTGTAAGATTTATAGAAGTATTTACTTAAATATTTCCAGAAACCTTATAAACCCTTTATAAAAATATAAATTAAATGATTTTGACACCTGGAGTAACAAGTTTCTCTTTGTCTTTGTCTATTCAATTATTTTTGGTATGTCTATGTTTGTTTGATGATGATGCCTCCAGCGCCTCCGTCTCATGAAGGGATAAATAAATGCACAAGGACAAGTCCTATGTTGCACCAATGGCTTCTAGATGAGTACTTGTTTCACATTCACATAAAAAAGGTGTTGTTAAACCATTGATCCTGGTCCAAATTTTCATTGCCAAGCGATTTTTACTGATAAATATACATGTTATACCTTCAAAAAATGCGAGCGCCTTTTGAAAGAAACATATTTGATTGTATTGCCACAAATATAAAAATAAAATTTTGAAAAAATATTAATATTTAAGTGACAAGTTCTTGAGAAAAAAGTTGCTTATTTAATTATATGAGGTTCTTATGCATATTTATCACAAATTGTTAGCTAAATGCCCTAAATTTTTGAATTTCACGTTGCCAGTGAAACAGCGTCCATTTTTTTTGCAAATCAAATATGGCAGAATGAAGACTAGTTTAATTTGAAAAATTAATCACCTTTATATTACCTAAAAGAACATTACATAAATTTTGGTACTCTATATAGCTTCTTTTAATTTTATAAAAGGTTCTTATAAAACTTAAAAGTTTATAATGGTAACAAAAAATACTCCAGGTACTATAACTTATAAGTTAGCAACCATCATTACATGTCGCGCATGCAGGTTTCCCAGTTTCCCATGACGTATTTCGTCCAATCGCGTCACCCTACATAATTGGTCTTAAAGTGGTACGTGACAGCTTTATCCACATTTCCGAGTTCTGACTAATTATAATTCGTAAATAAGGGTTGGACGATTACGCAAAATACCCGCAGTGGAGCACTGGCATCAGCATAAAATGACAACAATATCCTCACTTTTTCCAGCTGACTGCACAGGTTTATTGTTTCTGTTTGGCTTGATGTGATGTTTGGTAATGCTGCTGGCCGCTGGTATTTATTTCACTCACCCAATTTGTTTATTATTATACCCCCTCTGAATTATATAAAGCATCCTTACATATTCAGAAGCAACAAAAATTTATCAAAGACTCGTCGATTACTTCTATTTTTATAAAGGCAAAAATTATCACCATTTTATAACTAGGGAATGTAAAGTTATATAAAAAGGTAACCGCAAAATGTATAAAACTTTATTATATATCTATTAGTAATAGTTACTCTAGGTTTTATAACTTGGTAATTGAAATATTTATGTCACCTAGTTATATACCTACAGGTTGGGGGATATTATAAAACCCTTATATCCTAAAAGCATTATTCATTCCTCTTATATACCCTTTATATAATTAGTCGGTACCATAAGTAACGAAAATTGTTTATTGGGGGGGATATCAAATGACCATTAGAATACAAAGTCTCAACAAAGAAAAAATTGAAATTTCATCGTCTTAGTAAGAAGGTAGCTTCCTTATGATTTAGATTTTGGAAAACTTTGAAATGTCATAACTTTTTTTCTATTATAGATAGAAAGCTGAAATTTTCAGCGATTCTTATTCCAGTAGAGGACTACAATCCCTGGAAATTTCAACTCATTCGGACTTATAGTTCCTGAGATAAAATCGTGTTAAGCAATTTGGGGTGAATTATCAATTTTTCAATTTTTCTGAGTGCCTTTTTTCATAGATTTCGGCTTCAAATCTGGGAATAATTTAGTATATGCAGTTTGGGGGATATAAAATGACCACTAGGACACAAAAATCTCAACAAAAAAAAAATTGAAATTTTATCGTTTTAGTAAGAAGGGCGTAACTTTTTTTCTATTAAAGATAGAAAGCTGAAATTTTCAGCGATTCTTATTCCAGTAGAGGACTACAATCCCTGAAAATTTCAACTTATTTCGACTTATAGTTCCTGAGATAAAATTGTGTTGAAGAGTTTACGTACCTAGACGACAAATATTTTATGTAATAATCAAAATCAAAGTTGCGAGCAAAACTCGAACTAGTCTCGAAGCAAAATAGTCAAAATACGCATAAAAACACATATTAGGGACATAAAGCTTCCGTATTTTTTGCTCGGTATCCGTATCGGTATCATACTGCGCATGTGCAGAAGCGATACGGAGGCCGAGATACCGTACGTACAACGTAACGTTACGGCCCTCTCGCAGTATCCGTATCGGTAACGTATCTTGACTTTCCTGACGCATGTGTCAAATTTTAAATGAATATAACCTCACTGTTCTTCCGGGTTGATTTAATTTGTTTAGTTTATACTTTCTTGAGTTTCTTTTGTGCTTAGTGCTTCTCTATCGCGAAAAAAAAAACAATTTTAAGGTTAGATATAAAAACGCCGGAGTTTTGAGACAAAAATTTCTAGGTTATGAGATGCGTTTGCGTTTACCGGAACAGGGAGCGCTTTAACAGCCTTTTCGCTTGTCAACGTATCTAGTTGCGTTACGGATACCGATACCGATACCGGCGAATTATTTCAAGTAGCTTTATGTCCCTATTCAAAATAAACTTACTTGGCTGTCACGCCATATTGAATTTTTATTTTGACAGATGGATTAGGCAGTTCGAATCAGCTGATAATTCAAGATGGCGATGCGGCACAAATGTAAACAAACCATTGAGGTTAGACAGGCCTCCATATAAACACAGATATAAATGTGTGTTATTTCACTTATTTCTACCTGTTTCAGAGTTTACTTTGATGAATTTTAATTTATTTCAATTTCCTTTAATGTTCGTAGTTACTTGGAATATTTATCTATTAATAAAATACCTGGACATCAGGTACAAAACGGACCCCAAGAAACTGTGCTCCAAGTAGGTAGAAAGGCCTAAAGGCCTAAATCTAAGTTACATCAAGATGATTTTCTTCACCTCCGATCAGTTGTTCGTGTGCTCCAGAATTGTAAGCAGTCTGAAACATATAGTTCATAAATATTTTTTGATTTTTGATGAAATGCAGAATGCTTATTGCTTATCTACAAAAGTTATTGCTGGAATCTGCTGATGTTGGGAAGAGGTAAAAGTTTGTAGTTCACTTGTAATAAAAGATAATGGGCATGTGAAACATGCCTTGCCAATCTTGGCATTTTTGAAAAATATAAATCGTGCCGGAGTGTGTGAATGTCAAAAACATAAATTACATGAACCACAACAACGCTAAAAATAAAAATTTCTATCAAAAAACGTTCTTAAACTCATAAAAACTGTAGAAATTCACAGAAAATACACAGTCTCTTGAGGTTATGTTTGCTATGCCGCAACGCCATCTTGAACGTCAAACATCAAACTGCCCTATTAGGCAATCTCAATCACGTGATTTTATAATGGCCGTTCGGGTCAAATATTACCGTGACGAGGGTGACAAGCCGGTGACGTTCATAAGGAGAGCATTTGTGCACATTTGTGTTCTGACCCTTGTTGCTTTCGAAGTGAATTTTATAGTCTTTGGTGTTTCTGCGTATTTTTCATTAGTTTTGGCCATTGTTGTTTTCATAGTGAATTTTATAGTCTTTAGTATTTCAACGTATTTTTAAGTGTTCTGGCCCTTGTTGATTTCAAAGTGATATTTATAGTGTTTATAGTGTTTCTACGTATTTTTTAATT